AATGCATGAGGAAGGAGGGATGATTGTTTGGAGCATTGAGGTGCTCTAAACTGTCATACATGAGGAGGAGGATACACTAGGGAGCTTCTAATGTGTGCTTGGATTCATACAGTCTAACACTTAGAGCTTTGAGGTATCATGCATGAAAGAGAGAAGAATACAATGAATTATTGTTTGCTAATTTAATGTTTCAACAAACAAAGCAAATGAACCCAGGATTTGACCCTGAGGTTTGCTAGTGCTTTCTCTAAGTTCTTTAGAGGTTATTAGGGAAACCTCCATGTGACTTTGGAAAGCAACAAGCATGAAAATCATTTGTTGTTTTTGTGTTTCAACGAATAAAATGAAGAAACTTAGAATTTGGCTCTAAGTTTGAAGGACTCATGTAGTGATATGTTTGAAGGCTTGACGAACCTCAAATCATCATGCATGAGAGGATGTTTACTGATTTTGTGTTCTAACAAAAGATGTAGGAGAACTTAGAATTTGGTCAATTTCGTGTTGCATGCTGAGATCCCGAATTAATATTTAAAATTATCAACACGTATATTCCTTCAAGAGATAAGAATACAATGAATTCTTTTCAAAGTATATGCAGGTGATTTTTCAAAGTTCAAGGGCACCACCTCCTCCATCGCACTAAGATTTCAGAAGTCAATAAAGAGACTTTTGCAACTACACAATCCAACAAAGCGAGCTAGAATAGCTTGAAGTCTTTCAACAGCCTGAAGCTTAAGGTTTGAATGAGTGTAAGAGGCTGGATCCAACGAGCTAAAATTTGGCCGGATCGCTGGCAACTCCATCTACTCAACACGCCATAAGAAAGGTCATAGTAGCGGAATCCCCACTTTGTCAACCTGTCAGTAGGGATTGTAGGAATTGCGAAGGCTTAGTTGACTCGATACGTTCAAGTGATCATAGTCTACCAAATTCTCCTAATTGACAGGAGAATCAAAGTTCTAGTGGGAAGGATGAGTCGTAAGCAACTACTGAATGTGTGTAGGCCCTAAATCTTCAACCACAAAAGAGGACTTCAAATCTACCAACTTCGGTAAAATCAACATTGAGAAGCATATATCCCATAGCTCAAGTTTGAAGCCTTAATAGTGCTTATGTCATAAGTGACAGTTCAATGTCCAGAAACACCATTGATAAGAAGCTCGTGACAAAATACTCATACGACACATAGTAACATAGTGGTAAGTAAAAGTATCTGCTTCCTGTAGGCGGGGAATTCAACATGCAACGCTGCAGAACCTCTTGGCTTGTACATAGTCATTATGAAACTTACAAATGCTCATATTTGTTAAGCAGTGAGTTTATATGAATAAGGCTGAATGTCTTACAAAGGGAACCATCAGTGGATGCGACTTGGTTCATATAAAGAAGATAGTAATTCACCAAAGGGAGATACTTGAGAAGAATGTAATGGATATGACTTGTTCGTAGTCTACATCAAGTTACAAATAAGTACATTGATCCGCAAGCAATCAAGAAGAAAAGATCTGCAATACATACAAGTCCTCTACGAATACAACATCCACCCCTGTGTAGATACATAAAGACTACAGTAAATGCAGTATCATGTAGTCAACTTCAGTCTAAGGATGAATACATCTACCTCCAGCATTAGTGGATGTATTGTGAAGACCAAAAATCACAGCAGAATGCATAAAGAATGTAAGTTCCTGTGAGCTTCTAGAACCCCAAGGCAGGAGATTAGTTAGTGCACTATGATCCACCTGCAGAAAGTAACCATAATGCACGACAGTCTACCTGTACGAAGCAGCGAACAACTCAATTTAGAAGCTGCTATGCCACGCCACCGGATCCGCAACTTCTATGCAAGCGGACAAAAGGCGTTTACAAATACTTTCAAGATATCCTTCCTACATATGTGCACCGTAGTTTGTTTACACTTAGGTACACTAAAAGAGGGTAAAAGCAATCAAATACCCGCATGGGCCCCGACGAGCGTGTTATTGGTACACACGTGACGTCTAGGGATGCTGCGCGGGTATCAAACTTTAAACCTGATCCTCCTTAGCAGGTAAAAAGGAGTCGACAGGGTTTAATTATAAAATGCCCCCAAATCCGCATGGGCCCCTGCGAGCGTGTTATTGGTACACACGTAACGTCTAGGGATGCTGCGCGGGTTGACGAGTGAATTCAAGTTCGAAACCGATCCTTCTATACGGGTTAATAAAAGTCGACAGGGTTCGAACCAACAAACAAATATACGGTTGTGGCGACCGTTATATTTGTCTTAATACATTCATATTAGACCTTCAATGCCTATAACAAAGAGAATTTACTATCAAGGGCATAAAGCCTACGAAATCCGATCCTCTATCAATAATTTGATAGAGTTGACAATATTCAATCAACAAAAGAGAAATGACCCCGAACACCCTGATGATGGCCGTGTTGAATACAGATCTCAACCGGAGGAGTCCCCAAATATTTTGAAATGTCTCCCAAATATCCAAAGTACATTTCAAATATTCCATAACTCCACAAAATCCCAAAATCCAAAAAAATATTTAAAAATGAAACTATCCATCCCAACACTTAAAGCAAAGCCCATCCACCCTTTGCAACAGTCTGCCGGGGTGGACAAATTCAAATTTACTTCAGCTCACAAAGAGCCAAATGCCTAGTCGAAAATATCACTAGGATCCATTCTCAAAACAGTCTCCTGCTAGTAAGGACGTGGTACGTGTCCTCTGACCGGCGGTTCATCGCCAAATGGCACCGCAAGATAAACGGTTATGACTCGGGGCCCTCTGAACCGAGTGGTTTTGACGCCAAATGGCACCACAAAATACCGGTTATGGCCAGCGCCGTTACGTTCCTTATTAGCATCAAATCCTTGAGATATGAATCAATAGGATATGATCGATAGGGCACAAAGCTCTATGTTAGCTAAGGTGGATTCAAATTTGTCCCCTTAGACAAACATTCATCCCAGGTCTACAAGGTCCCCTTGGACGAAGCAACCCATGGCTGCCAACAAGGATTCTTCTGTCAGGTTGGGTCGACTACCTCCTCTGACTAAGTAGAGCAGGGACCACGATGGCCCGGGATGACTGAACCATGGGATCTTGATCGTGTCAATCACCCATTCCCCCACCATCCGCTTTAAGTGTAAGATGGTGAAATTTCAAGTTTTAAATATCAAACCCTCCAAATTTCCCAATATCCAAACCATTCAAATTCCAAACTTCCAATCCTCAATATCCAAACTCATGCTGCTACTATATGCCAGATAACATGTATTTCTACGTATCTGATTGACGACTAGCCTTAATCAAAAGTTCTCTCTCGTGATCGGGAGGGGTAATTAACTATAGGGGCTTGCGCCTATAGGAAACCAGAACTCAGATCATAATGTCCTCGCAAAATGAGGGTGAAATCTCTGGGTAGTGTCTTATCTACAAACCAATCTGCCTTCCAAAATTTATCTTGGAACTTATTCAGTTAAAACTCCATCGCCGAATAAAAAAAAAAAGCGAGTGGAGGCCGGAGCCGAATTTTCGGAGCCCATAAAATTGAGTCTAAATAAATTACAGATTGACAGAGTTCAAGTGACAAATAAAGAACTGGATTTTGAATCATTAAATGCTTGGTCAAACATGCAATTGCTAGATGACAATCATGATTGTTCAAACAAGGATTGATTGAAAGATTTATGGCTCTTTCATAAGCAACAATGCAAAAATTTTCAAACAAGTAGCCACTTTGATCATTTAAATGCATTTAAATCAATATCACACATTCAAACAAGGATTCATGCATAAGTTGATTATAAACCCTTGTATGGAGTTTTTGGATAACTATACTGGACTTGAAAGAGTCATGTGAATTGGAATAAAAAATGTTGATGGTAATATCAAGTTCATTACACTTGTTGTAAATCACCTTTGAAGGCAAAGAACTTGCAAGTGGTGTTTGTTTGCAAATAACAAGGAGATTGTAAAGTTATGATATGAGGGCCATTAGAGCCTAAAAGATCATTCACAACATCAAACATAATGTATCCTCAAGCAACAATCAATAGAAATTGCAAGAGATGTGATAGCCCCACCTACAAATCACCATGCAATAGTCCTCGATGAGTGTTATGGATAACGCAAGATAGATAATTAATTGTAAATGATAATAAGAGATACACAAACCATATATGGTTGAAGAAATTGGTTTCAAATGCAACTTGAATAATAGTCAATGACAAATCACTTGCATACATGAAAAGGGGTAGATCATAAGTACAACAGGTCTCCAGTCCACATGAGCACTCGGATAAAATATTGTTTGCAAGCAATGATGGAAAGTCCTTTGTGTGAAGAATAGTATACCCGCAGATTGCAATCATCAACCGTTAAGCAAATGTATTAACTCTTTCATGTAATGAGCATGGCAAGCTTGTATCCAAATGAATGTCAATATCAGCATGTAAATGAATGCACTAAGCTTTCTGCAAATGATGACAGTAGACATGGGGCAACTATGATAAATATCCTGCAAACAATGGGAGACAAAATGCTAGAAGGCAAAAGATAGAAGATCACGACAAAGACCTGCCATATGCATCAGATGCCATCTACAAGCAAAATGTCTATAACAAGTACAAGATCTTACGAACCACTGCAGGATACCCATTCAATATTCAAAATGTTAGAGCAACTAGAAGGATTTTGCATATAGTGGAGGCAACAATGTAATGCATCGGAATGCATTCAAGTGAACGTCAAGACACTATATTGCGCCTACCATAATTAATGATCAATGTTTGAAAAATGTGATATTAAAGATTAATGCAAAGCTTGGTGCTCTAAACTCACAATTACAAATATAAAACATACCTACTATTCCAATCATCTCAAAGGCTGCTTGTTGATTTCTATGCGAGTTCTGGGAATTGAAAGCCATATCAAATCATTATGAAGTGAGTGAATCTCAATTCAACTAAGTTCTGAACATTAAGTTGGTTACGATCATGGAGATTTGCAAGTTCTTGATAAACAGTGTTCGTACATCTAACAATTCACCTATGGGCAAATACAGAAGAGCTATGGTAAACTCGAGCTTCTACAAGTTACTGTAGAAGATCCGCCAAATGTTAAAAAATCCCCCGCACATGCACGGTAATATGTATACACATAGGTACACAAAGGGGGTAAATGTAATCAAGCACCCGCATGGGCCCTGGCGAGCGTGTTTTGGAAACATACGTGACGTCTAGGGATGCTGCACGGGTCAATAAATGAACGTAGTTCGAGCCCAATCCTTTTATATGGATATATGTGAGTCGTCACGACTCGAATTATCAAACATATATACGATCAAGACGTCGACCAGAATATCTATTTTATACGTTCATGTAAGGCTTTCAACAAAGAAAATTCATTAACAAAAATATAGAGCCTACAAAACCCGATCCTCTGTTGACAGCTCAACAGAGTTAGCAAGGTTCAATCCACAAATGAAAATGACTCCATACACCCCGATGATGACAGTGTTGAACGTAGATTTCAACCGGAGGGGTTAAATCCAACTATTTCAAATGCCCTAGAACTTTCATAAAATAAAGATATTTTCAAGTTACCCCAATCACCCCAATGATGATCGTGTTGAATGTAGATCTCAATCGGAGGGGTTAATTCCAAATATTTTAAATGCCACTCAAATGTCCGAAAGTCCATAGTCCAAAAATCTCAAAAGTCTAGAATATTTAAAATTAAAATAAACTATCAAACACTTAAATCAAAATACATCCACTCTCCACAACAGTTTGTCGAGGAGGACAAATTTGAAAATAACTTCAGCTCACATAGAGCTAATGCCTAGTCAACAATATCAGTATGATCCATTCTCAAATAATCTCCTGCCAGTAAGGATGTTGTACGTGTCCTTTAACCGACGATTTTATAGCCAAATGGCACCGCAGGATAAACAGTTATGACCCATGTCCCTCTAAACTGAGTGATTTTGCCGCCAAATGGCACCACGAGATAGCGGTTATGGCAAGAGCCAATGCATTTCTTAGTGACATCAAATACTTGAGATATGAATCAATAAGATATAATCGATAAAGCACAAAGCCCTCTGTTAGCTAATGTGGATTCAAATTTGTCCCCTTAGTCAAACACCCAACCCAAGTCTACAAGGTACCCTTGGACGATGCAACCCATGGTTGCCGACAAGGATCCTTCTGTCAGATTGGGTCGACTACCTCCTCTAACTAAGTAGACCATGGACCACGATAGCCCGAGACGACAGAACCATAGGATCTTGATCGGGTCCATCATTCATTCCCCCACCATCCGCTTTAAGTGCAAGATGGTGTAATTCCAAATTTTTAATATCAATCTCCAAATTCTAAATGCCCATGGTGCTATGCCAGATAATACGTATCTCTACGTATCTAATTGAATAGCCTTAATCGAAAGTTCTCTCTCGTTACCGGGAGGGGTAATTAATTATAGGGGTTGCGCCTATAGGAAACCAGAACTCAGATTATTAAGTCCTCGCAAAATGAGGTTGAAATCTTTTGGGTAGTGTCTTATCTACAAAATCATATGCTTTTCAAAATTTACCCCATAACTTAAATCCGTTAAAACTCCCCCGAAGAAAAGCAAGTGGACGGAAACCTGGGTCGAATTTTCGGAGCCCACATTGTGTTATGATAGACTCCATTTGGATAGACTTGTGCACTGTGTCCTATCATGCAACAAGAATAACGCAGGACTCCTGAAAATGAATGTGCTAATATATGCAATGGCATAAGTAACTCTTCCTCCTTGTGGAGGGGATCATGGATTTGGTGCCCTAACAAGTTGTTTGTGAGTATGTGAGGAACTAGGTGCAAGTGATCTAAGTTCTGTAATTTATTTTCTAAGGTTTTTTTTTTTTTTGCGCTTTTGAATATTCCTATTTTGATCTATACTTCATATTCACTCTCCTACAAATGCAACACTTCAACTTCAAATATTTTATATGCAGCGTCTAATTCAATATGATGAGATTTTGTTTTTTGAATGATTTCATAAAGCCTCAGATGCTTTTATTAAATTAGAATGCTCATTTTGCAGTGTGCTATGCTCCTTTTTCAAACATAAAAATTTTTATTTTAACTTTTTTTATAAATATCCTGTAATTGTTCAATAAAAGGAAAGTAATTCATCATATGAGTGCTCATATGCCTGAACTTGATCCATGTCACCTGAGCTGTCTTTTGCCATTAAGTACAAATTTGTGATTTTCTCTTCTGCTTCAATCTCAAAGGAGTCACAAATTGAATTTGTCCAAAAGGTTCTTTGAGGTTTTCTTTTATTCCTTTTCTCCTCAAGTTCCTCCTTTAATAATTGGCTTTTCATATGACATTTCCCCCTACAAACAGAATTGCTTAGAAATAAAATTGAAAAGCATTAAGATGTTTTATAATTTCTTTCTACTTGTTACATGTGATTGCTTCAAGATTTATGTACTTCTGACTCCTGTCCAATATCTGAAATCTTATTGGTTAATTTTATTGGAATCTAGAAATATTTGGCTCTAAGCGTCCTTTTTGGACTGGACAGTTCAAGCAGAAGGTTCCAGTGCTTGACATGTTTGGCAATCCAGCTGTTACCACTGCTGATAGTTCCAACCCATGGTGGACTTTATTAGACGAAGCTGTAAAAAAAGCCGATGGTAGGCTTGCTAAGCCAGAGATATTCCCCGCATCCACTGATGCTCGTTATTTCCGTGAACGTGGTATACCAGCATTCGGATTTTCACCAATGGCCAACACTCCAATTTTGCTCCATGACCATAATGAGGTTAGCGTTGTCTATCTATAACTGGAAGTTGAATGCACTGTTATTGGTTTTGGCAAGAGCTATTTTTTTCCCTTTAATCAGCATCACATTCTCTTGAATATTTTTTATGTCGTCAAATCATTTTAGTCTTCGTGATTGCTTCAAGTTCTTTTTGGTTTGCAGTTCTTGAACAAAGAAGAATACTTAAAAGGGATTGCGATTTACGAGTCAATCATCAAAGAGTTCGCAACTTATAGCGAGCTTGTTGAGGATGAAGAATCGCGGGCGGAGTTGTAAACTGATGGAATCTTCCTTGAATGCGTGCAAGCAGGGGACAATTTGCTCGTTGTTTTATTACAGTAGCTCTTGTGATGTTTCACATCAACAACTGTTTTCAGCAAAACCTAGTCCTGTAACTTTGGCCTTAGCTGTTAAACTGTGGTACTTGCAAATTAAAACTGTGAACGAGCTAAAGATATATATAATTAGATTGCTTGCGTAGCAAGTGGATGCCGGCCGGTAGTCTTCACCTATTTTCTTGATTTTTGGGTTTAAATAAAAAATATAAAGAAAATTAATAATCAATTTAAATATTAACTGAAGTAGGTTGAGAAGATATGTCTTGCATCATTAGCCAACTAAGACTTCGTTTGGAACAATTTTTTTATCACTTCTTAAAGCATCTTTCTAGTAAAAACAATTAATTTTTTACTAGAAAATTGTTTCAAGAAGCGGTAAGAAAGTCGCCCCAAACGAAGCCTAAGTGATGGATTGTAAGGTAAAGTTTATCTTTATTTGAAGTTGGGAGAATGGTTCATGCAGCCATCTCCCAAAAGCAAGATGGTTGCCCCACCACTAAATGAGAAGTAAAGACTGAGCTTTTAATATAGGAAGTCACTAATCACATAGCACCACATGCATATAGCATCTATACAATATATTTTATATTAAGTTTTCTTAGTTTTTGTTTAAAAAATTTCTATGGTTTTTAATCACTCTAATGCATTCTTTCTTTTATATATATAACATGTCAGAGTACGACTTTCCCTTAGGCCCCACAATGCTGGGGTATTTGGGCAAGGCTTGTCCCTTAGGTGAGGAGGGAGAGGAAGAGGAGGAAACAGGGCCATTGGAGGTTGCCAAGATGTAGAAGCCACCTACCAAGAAAATAAGGATAGAGGTAGTGGCCCTTGCTCACCCTGAGGTGCAAGTTGCTAAGAAGCTAGCGGCGAGCAAGTTTGCAAGCACCTGTGAAGATTAAGGGGAGACATCCTAGGTACCACTTTCAACACCTATAAAGGAAGTCATCATTAATGAGGAGAATTCTAAGAAGATGGATGAAGAGGTGAGTTGTCCTATGTCATCAGTGGTAGTGCTAGGCAAGGATAAGCAATTCATCATAGAGATTGAGGAGATGTGATACGAAGAGTACAACTAGTCATTTGGTCCTTAGAGGAGGCAAGCTTCTATATAAATGAAACTAGTGACCTCCACCCTCCTATATTATGTTTTGACTAGAGATGCCTGATATAAAATATCATTAGCTATGATAATTAAGCTAATAGATTTATGTGCGCATGTCTTTTTTATTTAAACTAACATTTTAGGTAAATCAAAAGAAGAAGGTCATATGATATTGGATGAACACAATCGAAGACATGTTGGCTTCAGTCAAGTAGAGACCAATAGGATGGTGGCACAGTACTTCATACTTTAGATCCTTAGTGCATGACTTTACCATCTGACACTAGTAGATAGCGTTTCCACCTCTTACTATTTTTCCACCACTATACCATAATTTCTACCATTTTTACATATGTTAGATATTTATCATTATTGCAATTATATGTAAATATAACATTTTTGTTATGTAATTGCAGGTTTTACTCATAATTTGCCCGAGCTTTATATATCAACCAACTAGTGAGACTTTGTTGCCTCAGGTCATCTACAACTACCTTTAGCTTAGAAATGCCCTCTTCTTTCTTTTTTGTTTTCTTACTTTATATTTGTAACATTGATGCTTCATACCTTGTGTAGGTTCCCAGATGAACCATATGTCAGCCAGTTAGTTGTTGCAAGAGACCTTAGTTCAGGTACACTATTTTATTAGCTTGTACATTTTTTTTGTCTAGTTTAACCAGTACTCCTGTTGCTTTACACAAATTCTAGGATGAGTAGGTTGCTGGTAAGACAGCTACTACAAGAGGCCTTTACTCAGGTATGCACCCCTTTTTTGTAACTTATGTAGTAGTTTTTCCTTGTTGCTTTACCAGTACCTCTATCACACTACATAGGTCCCAAGAGGAGCGAGATACTAGTTAACTAGCTACTACAGGAGACTTCCATTTAGGTATACATTTCTTTCTGGCTTTACATACACTTGCATAGTATTTCTCCTTTATTTTTGTTGACACTTATGTTACTTTATGTAGGTCTCAGAAGGGCAAAACACCCAATCTTTGGAAGTGATAGAGCAAGGCCATCAATTTCCTCTTCAGTCATAGGCTTAGGAGATAGACTTTTGTCTTATGTGAATGATAATGTATTTTTTGTTGGTTGGCGCAAGCTTGTATAAGGATAAAAAATATAAACTTTTGTATAAATTTTGAATTAATAAAATAAAGCTATTTTATAAGTTCAACTTCTGTGCTTGTGGTGTCAAGACTTTAGACACTTGTTTTTTTTTTTTTTTTTTTTTTTGAGAGGAATGCAACTTGCATTAAAAAAAAACCTAATTACAAACTACTAAACAAAAAATAACCTATCACATTCATCCTTTAACCAAGACACAAAAGGAGGAATATTATTATCACTAAATAAATCCCAAATAAAATCACTAGACAAAGCTAAGTTAGCACAAAAATTCGTTAACTTATTACATTCACGACTAGAATATAAAAATAGGACATTATTAGAACCTTTTAAGAATAAGAAATCATCCACTTCCTTGTTCCCCATCATCCAATTTGATTTGCAAAAAGTGTATTGAAGAAACTTGATAACATTCTGATTATCACCTTCAATAATAATGCCTTCCGCCTCAAACATCCATGTCTGAACCACCTTCTTCAATGATTTAATCGCTAATAGTTCAATTTGTGCAATATCCTAATGCATACAACCAAAACAAACTGCCAACAAGAATCTTCCTTTATTATTTCTAACCACTCTACCAACACCTGCTTTATTACATCTCAACAAAGAAGCATCAATGTTAATCTTAATCCACTCGAGGGGAGGAGGATGCCAATAAATGCAAAGTAGCTGATGCTGATTAACACCCCAGTTTTCCGAGCTAATTTTATTATGAATAGAAGAAGAAGCATAGCTGGTAACTTCTGAAGCAATAAAACCAGCACTATCTTCCCTACCTCCATACTTCACTTTATTTCTATTTTTCCAAGAAAAGTATAGCAAAGTACAATACAACTTAGCTATAAAAGGATTAGTATTAGCTAACCTTTCCAATGCCAATGTACAGTACTGAAAAGAGCTTGAAACTGGAACTTGAAACCCCCATACGTTCAAACAATTAATCACTTGGATTAATTTTGAATAATTAGCTTCTATATGATCAAAATCTTCACTAGCATTACAACCATTTAGACATAAATTACTATCCAACAAATTAATTTCTATCCATTAGAAAAATATTAGATGGAATAACATTGTTGTATAAGCACCATAAAAACAATTCCACCCGAGAATTCAACTTCAATTTCCTTGTTCACGTCCAATAATTATCTTCCATATCATCTTTATACCTTGACTCTGAAATCAAATAAGATAACCTCTTTCTAGACAATTTAAACTTGAGCTCCATTCGGTCTTCCATTAAATATGCAGATATATGAATCTCAGATATAATTTCCAGTAATTCTTCTCCAACATACTACTTCAACTGATCTATATTCCATCTTCCATTCAAAATAAATTCATCCAGGTGGCGTGTGTCATCATACAAATCCATAACGTAGGTAGGCCACTAATTTAAGCTTTTATTAAGGATACATACATCTTTAAGCACATTAATAGATGAACCCGAAGCAATTCTCCATCTCACAACTTTGCAAAGGAATTTCCATCCATTTAGAATAATCTTCCACGGAACAGAGCTACTTCTCTTCACATTAGAATTCCACCAATTGTGTCCATATTTTGTAATCAAATTCCTGTTAAGCAGTGTACTCGGATAATCAATGAGATTCCAAGAAAATTTTGCTCTTAAAGGCCCCATCTTTGAAACAACTGAACAAAGTCCCCGTCCACCTTTCTTCTAAGTTTTGCATAAAATATCTCAAGCGACATAATGAAGACCATGGCTACCATTTTATTTATTCCAAATATAATTTCTACACATTCTTTCAAACTCCTTCGATAAACTCAAAGGAACCAAAGTATTTGTAGTTAGAAATAATGGAATAACAATAAAAATCGATTTTACCAAAATAAATCTTCCTGCACGGGAAATAAACCTATTTCCTCAAGTATTTAGCTTGTTCAAAGATTTTTCCATCAAGTGTTGAAAATCCGATTTCACCATTCTTCTTAATGCTATTTTCACTCTCAAATATTCCATTTCTTCAACCACTTCAAAGGCCAATAACCTTGAAATATGCTTGCATCTCCTTATATTGATTGATTTGCCAAACAAAATAGAAGATTTCTATAGATTTAGAGTCAGTACTTGTACTCTCTTTATAATGTTAGCCTGAGTTATGAAGCTTTGGTTCATTCTATCTTGTGCTTTATGTGATTAACATTAATGAAATATTACTTGATTTGTCTACATTGACTTGTCAGGAGATTTTTATACCTACTACCCTATGCTTTTTTTCTTTGGTGGGTTTTGACGAAGGAGTAAATGATAAAGGCCTAAAACCTTTAGTTTTACATTAGGTCGGTGGTGAGAGGTCATCGATCTATAGCTTTGTGCGTAGTGGACTTGCTGATGATGAAATCATCTTGGTTTAGCCTTAAGCTTTATATAAATTTTAGGATAATTTCTTTGGTCCTTTGCTTTGTGCTTTGACGAACTTGTTGAATTAGAATTCCTTTGATCCTCTCTTTTTGCGTTATGAATTTATTGAATGATTTGCTAGTTTTGGGTTTACTTAGTTATAACAAATGTAGGTAATACATTGACCCTTAACCAATCAAGAATATTTCAATCTATTTTTTTCTTAATTATTCTGGCCCCATACACCTGATTGAACCTTAACTTTAGACTGTTAAAGAACTTATGCCACTCTAGCTTGATTTGTTAGAGTGTGTAGCCATGAAGATCTTCTTTCCTGTCCTTCAAAGTCTTGGTATATTGGAGAAGGTGATGTATTAAACTTTTTGGAGTATCACTTATACATATACTATTAAAAGAGGATGTTGCTATATCCCCTCATTTGAAGGAATATTCAGATTTTATGATCTTAAATATTTATTTAGAGATCTTGGTGAGAAGCATGATGTTGACACAAATAATTTGTTCAATGGTTTTAAATATTTATTTG